ATTGAGAGACCAGTGTCGGAGTGTTAAAGAACAGCTTTGAAATTCTCATGACTGTTCTTCCCACTCTATGCAAGGCCATCTGGGTTGGCTGGTAGACTGTTTACTTAGCCTGATAGGGCGGAGGACACTGTCTCAGCTGAACTATGGACACGCATACACATACATTTACACTGATAAGCACTCACACATCCCCCCTCCCTTTCCAATGCCTACGATGCTTGTTGCCTCCTGGGAACACGAGGCGGGTCTGGGCCCGCGCTGGAGAGTCGGCGCAGTGGCAGGATGGCTGCTGTGTTGCCTGGGATTACTCCTTATCCCCTACCCAACCCTGTTGCTGGTCACGTGCCCTATAATGTTGTACTGTGGACATTTATGTGCTTTCTGTGCAGAGGAGTTTTTTTGTTTCCTGTTCTCATGCTGTCCTCCTATAGCCCAGCATGAGTGGAGGTGTCTTTTTTCCTCTTGTACTTTCCCATTGTAGTGTACATTTCAGTGTTTTTTCTGTAATGCAACCGTTCTCTGACTTGTATCCCCATGTGATGTCTGTGTTGTGTGTGTATGGTCGGGGGCGGGTTCATCCCTAATGCAGGGCAACCTGCCACTGCATGTGGCGAATAAAATTTGAACTTGAATAACTTTGTAAAGGTACCCCTGTACCAGTGCTGATGCAGGGGAATGGCAACACCCATTGTTCAGGCAAAGAGATCTGCAAGTCTTCAGTGCAGAATGGGCAATGCTGAATGGGTACGGGGCTGTGGGGACCTTACAAATAGCACAGGAAACAACCATAAACTCGGCTCAAAAGAGGTCATCATAGCCACTTGAGTTTAGAAGTCATCAGTTTTGAATTTGGGACATTTTCCTCGCCCATTAGATTATGAAATACAAAGAAAAACATTTTTTATTGTATTAAAAATGAAATCAGTGATGGATTACCTCATTTGAATAATTTTTACTGAGGTAGGCTCATAGAAGCTAGAGCAGTCACTGTCTGGTGGCAAATGAAAATTCCACATTTGCTTTGGTTTGGTTGCTTTGCACTTTCAGAAGCTACCTCCAGTCTTTTAAGTATGTTTTACACTAACCAGCTGCTGGAAGGTTCATATTTACAAAAATAAGAATCTCACACAATGTTCAGCCATTACTGCAATCCTCTTTGTAACATTCAGACACACAGCTAACCACTTAAAACGTACCTTAACGGCCACCAGCATCTTGTCCTTAGTGGGACTGAGGTTGTAACATTCTGCCAAGAAGACTTTACCGAAGGCTCCCTCGCCCAGCTCTCTTTTCAGGATGATGTCTCTCCGCTTTATATGCTGGACAACTAAAACCAAACAAGAAGAAGAAATAATGACAGATTTAAAAAAAAAACAAAACAATAACTTTTTTGAGAATTTCAGTTGGACTTTCAGACATTTTTACGTGTTTAATCGCACAGAAAACGTGTTACATTGACAGTGAAATGCTTTTATCAAATCAAAATGTTACCAGTAACTAAACTAAAAAGGAAGGAAATTGTAAGGCAGAGAGGGGGAGACAGAACATAAACAGTATTACTGCACTGGAAGCTGGACATGCAGCTATATTGCAGTATTTTAAATTCCAGACAAGTTGGCAAGATTTCTACAGAAATATTCATGCTGACCCACAGGGTGGTGTTTACAAAAACTGGCACCAGACATCTTTAAACCAGTGTTTTCTGTAATGGTGAAAGCATTAGAAAATGTACTGTATTTTTCTCCAAGTGTGATCCACCTCCAACAGAATGTATGATAGGGTTAAACTGCAGGGAAAAAATGTTTTATCTAACTTTGGAGCTACTCAAAGAACACTTGGAGCATTACAGTTCAAGTGGTTTTAAATCTTAGAAGTGCAAATAAACTGCCAGGTGACACTGGACCTGCTGAGCTATAAATCTCTTATCTGGATTCCTCGGTTTTACTGTCGCCACTGAAACGCCACAGGAGGACATTTTCTAATGAGAACAGAATTGTAAAATTTTACTCTTTGAGGAACATAAAACAACTGGCTGAGCAGAGCGGGAGAAAGCAACGTCTTTGTCTTTTTCTGTTACCTGTAATAACTTACTTTAAAGGGATATCTTTAGAGTTACGAGGTAGTAAAGTCGGTATATTTTTCTGTCGAGTGTTTGACCTTAGATCATTTTCACCTCTTTTTGCAATTGCTTGCAATATTTGTGAACCTAGAATGGAGGCTTATTCTTCTACTGATTGGCCTGGTGGAAAACGTGTGGATCTTGACTTTTGTCCGCAAAATAACAGGCTGAATAACTCAAAAGGAGATACAGGAAAAGGTAGAAATAGCATGACAGAAAGCTCTGTATGTAAGAGCTGGTGAGGCGTAGGAGTTGCTGGCTTCTGACAGACCTACTCGATGTGCCTCAGTACAAATACCGATCACACAGTTTCACAACAGATTTAAATATATAAAAGTACTGTATATATATATATATATATATATATATAGCATACAAGGCTGGTGGTCATAGCTTGCAGTGTAAAGAATCTCTCCTTGCTATTAAATATGAATAAAGTAAAAGCTTAGCAGCAAAAACAGTACCACAGATGAATGCCCAAAAACAAAATTAGAGGTGAACACCAAAATCAGATAACAACTAACAACGTGCAAATGGTGTTTTCCAGGAATTACTATACAAGATTTAAAATACTAATCAAATACCACTACCAATACTAATTGTTATGCACTAATCTTTATGTACAAATGAATGCTAGTTTTGAGTGGAATGCTGCACTACATGTTTGCTCTGTAAACAATGAATCTATCTTTTACCTTCTGTAACAGAGTCTGTATATTTGCAGGTATTAACGGTCCTTGGACAGTCATGTTCCGGTATGTGCAATAATAATAGACCATGATGCTTGTGGGACTGACGCAGTATTCTCAAAGTACATTTTCAGCCTTCCTATTTATTCTTGTTAGATAAATCACAGAGTCTAATATGTCCTCAGTGGACAAGTAGACTTCCTGGAATTGAATCCACCCTCCATCTGTGTTCTTCGTTTGAATCGCACTTGATGGTTATACGGAGGAAAGTATGTCTCTGAGGACTCAATTGCACAAGGTTATATGTAAAGAAACACTTATGTCTGCAGATAGAGAATAAGCTATTGCATCTGTTCTTCTAAGACTGCTGGATCTCTTTCTGTAAATGAAGAGGTTAATTAAGTCTACAATTTCCAGAGCTCTGCCTCTTGTAGTTAATGTCCGTGGGCTGGTAAACTCAAAAACTTGTGACTTTGATGATGATACCACGAGAAATCACCACTGGTGATGTGAGGTGGTTACTGAGTTGAGGCGATTTGAGTCAGCTACCAATGGGAGTTAAGAATACTACAAACTGACATTGGTTGGGAAAATATCCAAGAGCGTCCACTATTAAATTCAAGTAAATTTTGCTTATATAGTGCCAGTCGACAATAATAGTCAATGTGAGGAACGTTATACTGTAAGGTGAAGGTAAAGTTAAAATCTCACTGATCCAACAATCAACAGCAAGGACCGACTGAGATAGAGGCGGAGTAGCTAGGGGCACACAGCCTCTTCTTGAAAGTCAACAAGACTGGAGAAATGGTCATTGACTTTAGGAAGGCCATTGCAAAGCACCACCATCTGACCATAGGGGAGGAGGCTGTGAAGAGGGTCAGCTCCATCAAGTTCCTTTGTGGTGATGACCTGACTTGATCCACCAACACCATGGCCATCATGATGAAGGCAGAGTGCCAGCTCCGCCCCCTACAGAGGCTCTGGCAGGTCAGTCTAATCATTTTAGCCCTCAACACCTTATACAAGGCCACCAATGAAAGCATTCTTACCTACTGCATCCCAGTCTGATTCACGCCCTTGTGGGAGTTGCGAGAACAGTATAAAAGATTATTGGAGCCACCTTCACCTCCCTGCTAGAGACCTTCAAACAGTACCCTTACAAGTGTTCGACAGCATTTTACCTCACGCTCCGTGGAAACGAATCCTTAACAGTTCTGGCCCTCACCCATCAGCTCTGTGTCTAAAAAATTAACTGTAACATTATGTAGAATAAACTAACATAGCTGGAAAAACAAGACCAAACTTAAACATCTAAACAGCACTGTCATATTCATATGTTGCAAAAAAAGGTGTAATATTTCACAGGTAAGTCTTCCATACAAGCTATAGGCAAATGCTGGAGCTTGCTATCAACCAAAACTTCTTGCAGCCATTTGCAAACCAGTCAGGGAAGATACAGTTTCGCCTTGAGATTGGTGGCTTCCAGATGGTCTCTACCCCTGTATGTCTTGGACCTTACCAGAACATTGACAGGGTTTTAAGCTTACATCAACTGGTTTTTTTTTTTGTTGTTTTTTGGGTTTTTTTAAGACAAAGGCTACTTCCACACAAACAGGGGTATTTTTGAAAACGCAGCTTTTTCTATGTGTTTGGGCCTTTCGTCCACACGTAAACAGCGTTTTGGGTCACTGAATACAGATTTTGAAAAAACTCTGCCAGGGTGAAGATTTTCGAAAACTATTTGTGCGTTTAGGTGTGGACGAGGAAAATAGAGATTGAGTGACGCAACGTCAAAGGTGTGCGCCGTTTTTGACGTCATGCTGTGTGCCACGTTAGTGTTTTTTCTACAACGGTGGTTTTCGACAAAATACTGTTGCCGTTAATCTTACTATCTGCAGTTTTTACATGCTGACATATGCACACGCATTTACTGTGCCTCCATTTAGAAAGACAGAGGCGTCAGAGTGAACTTCAGACGTGGCTACATTCCACACAATCACTCTCACAACCCAAATCCCTATGTTGGTTTTGAATAACATTTGAAATGATGAAGGCACTTGAAAAGTAATACAAACAGGGTTTTGTGTGAGGGCACAAAACCCTGTTTAGTGTTTCCCTCCCAGGCTTCTAGACTTCTGATTTGCCAACATGTCTACACGGTTAGGATTTGGCATGTTTTTGACAGTGTTTGACTTTGTTTTTTAATGTGTGGACAGGATTTTTTTAAAAAACAAAAAATCTCAGTTTTCTCAAATACCCATGTAAGTGTGGAGGAAGCGAAAATAGGCTACCACCAAAACTCTTCCAAGCATTGTTCTTCCTGATTTTAAACTCTAAAAGGTCAGTTCAATTTGCATACTCTACATTCAAGGATCCCAATTATGTAGCTTAATTTACTACTTATGAAAGAAAGTTAATAGGCAGCAGTGGCTAAAGGTAGTTCTCACAGCATAGGTCTATTATATTTCTAGAACATACAAGAGTACTTACCTCTGCAGGACCACAAAGCTAACATTGCATAGTTAGATTTATACCAAGTTATTACAGCTTGAATGTTCATTTTCTTCCCATGTTCAAACAAATTTCAAATAAAAAGAGAGCCTTATCACAATGTGGCTTTGCCCAAAAGGAGTTCACCAGATGCTTCACCAGTTCTCTCAAATATTTCCTCATTCAAAGACACAGATTACTAGCTTAGTCTGACCGTTCCTCTGGGTTTCTTTTTTCTCCATAACCATCTGGCCGTGAACATCTTGTGTAGGTGATTCATAAAAAAAGTCACCTGTTCCTCTGGTGTTTCCGTCAGTTGGTATCATAACTACTATTTTTGAAATCGCTGTTAAATAAGAAGAAATGTCCCAGTTTTAAAGTAGATCAGAAAAGAAGTGTGTGCAGAAACTGGCAGCCAGTTTGCAGGGTGAGAGCCCCACTAGGGACACCAACACATCACTGCTGTCACTGCCTCACCCTGTAAAAAGCTGCTTTCCAAGAGTGGAGAAAAACATCCTGAAGTCGATACACATACAGTTTAATTCAAAATGTATTTTGACGGGATTTGATAGGCCAAATGTCTCTGACACTTTACCATCTGATAAAAGTCTGAAGGGTTTCTCGACTCACCCCATATGTATTTCCCACTGATTCATATCTCTCTTTCTCCCTTCAGCTTTTATTGAAGGAGTTATATATGGCATTCAGGTGCACAAGCATGTCAGACTAAAACAAGGAGAAAAAAAAAAAATCAGAGCCAGAGAGGTCTTAGACCCTTTTAGCAGTTCATTGGGGCGATATTAGAAAAGCCAGACCAATGGAAAGGTAGGAAAAGGTAGATTATATTTTTGGCTCCAGAAATGCACTTGTGTAAATATCGCAGAAACTTTAAGCATTATAAAAACTGCTCGTCTTATACCTAATATTCATTTTTCTTTTACTTGCACTTCTCCGTCAGACAGGATCATTCGAGGATCAGTGTTGGCTTTACAACCAGATGCCTGTCACATTGCCGCCATCATCCAGTTA